TTTTTGCAGCATTTTTCTTTTTGCAAGTGTTTTTCTTTTTGCAGGTGTTTTTCTTTTTGCAGCATTTTTCTTTTTGCAGGTGTTTTTCTTTTTGCAGCATTTTTCTTTTTGCAAGTGTTTTTCTTTTTGCAAGTGTTTTCTGAAGTTGCAGTCCGTTTGGCCTCTCAGGGCCACCGTACTTTACACATGACTTTATGGTTAGCTCTACAACATAATATTTTTTTGAAAGTCATGTTCCAATTAAAAGAGAGATTGATGAAGGCTTTGCTTTAAGGCGGAACTGCCTTGTGATTGGCAGGTTGCTACCCAGTGAGAATGCAGTTTCCTCAGTTTCTCAGGTAGGGTTGAGCCACCCTTGTCATGTTCTAATTCAAAAAACAAGGCAAGCATAGCAAAGCTCAAGGCTTAAAATGATACTCCACAAACCATCCAGTTTTTATAGATGTGGGAAGCAACCTTCTGTTTTACATATTCTTTATGTTTATTTGTGTTCCATGTGTTAAAAAATGTAATATTAAAAGCAGAAAGTATAACATAGCAATGTTTCCATGCAGGTCCCTCCAGAAATCTTCATCTAGTCAGAGTCACTGCTGCAGGAGCTGCTGGAGTCCTGGAGAAGAGACAGATGATATTTGGTGAATTCCTCACATTGATTCTAAATTGAGGGGTGGTTAACTCTTTTTGTCTGAGTGGTTAGGATGAGGGGTTTATTTTTCACTTATGACCTCAAAATATCCTTAAAATTGGCTTAAAGTGTGCATTTGCTGTCCTGCCACCTGCTGATAATCTGTTATTCCTAAGATTTGTTTGGATGGTTATTTCAGTGATATTTTTCAGGCTGTATTACACAAACATGTCATGCTTCACTTTCAGCTCAATAACATCTACTTCCTGTTGTGGATCAAATCTGCACTGCTGCAGTATTCAGACTCACCCCGTGACAATCCCTCCCCTTCTTGTGGCATTTGAGGTGCTTGTGTCCTTGCTTGTGCCGGCGCCTGTGCTTCTTCTCACATCCATGAGCATGAGGGCCATGTCCGTGTCCACCGCCATGGCCATGGCCATGTCCGTGTCCACCACGATGGCCATGGCCATGTCCGTGTCCACCACGATGGCCATGTCCATGCCCTCCTTCATGACAGTGCCCCCCTAGAATTAGTCATAAATTCATCTTTTAACATTAAAATGTTTAAATATGTATAAGATATGGAAAACACACATTATGGGAGCTATGTGTTTTACCTCTTCCCTTTCCAAACATCTCCAAATTTCAAACCTCACACCCTGTAAGTTCAGATCAGAGTGAGTTCACCAAAACCTGTTCACAAAATAAAATACAACATATACAAACTCTTTCTTCACATATGCATACAAGATAATCAGCAGAGATTCAGTGTTGAACTTACTGTGTGCTGTTAACTTGATCCACTGACTCACCTGCCACTTTTTATATGTAAAGCCACACCTCAACCTGAAGTATGCTGAACGCCCATTTAAAGGTCAAATATAATGTTATAGTCTGCAACTGACCATGCACATACTGATAAAACCAGAATTACATGTTGATGTAAGAGCACACGGGTCGGAGTAACACACAAATGCACTTCGATTTGATGCTTAAGTACTTTGTGAGTGAACAGTGTGATTGACGGGGCTGTTTGTTCCTGCATTTTTCTCATGCAAAACAGGTGTGATTATATATGTTATATTATATCTGTACAGACTTAGAAACAGGAACTTCAGAGAAAGTTTTTTTTATAATTTATTTTTTATAATAGTTGTTTGTTTCGTTTGCAGGGCTACATACTCAAGTCAAGACTGTTTTAAAGGTGTCGCATTCATAAGTTCAATCCTAACATTGGCAGTTGGAATTAAAGTGGTTATCACCTCACTAAGTTAATTTAGGTTTTTCCCATGTGTTGACATAATCATATGATTGTGATCCCCATGCGTGTCACCATCTCCAGTCAGACACACTGTCAGATGACGATGATGAAATGGTAATTAAAAATGTAGAAAGGCCATAAAAATATGACAGTGAAATGCTAAATTTTCCCAGATGAGTAAAGCAAACCAGGCACAGATTGGATGTCCAGTTTCAGGATCATATATAAATGCTAAAATGATTAAAATTGTAGCGCAAAAATCTTATATTTTATGCTCAGAGAAACACACACTTGACGCTCCTACTCTCCTCGCAGAGGTCTGAAGCATCTTTCAGAAACAGTAATGCTATTTTAGGAGAATTGTTTCAGGAGCCTGGTAAGAAGTGAACCACCTCTGTACATAAAGCCCGGGGTTACCCTGACGTTTCCTGGATAAGCTGAATTCCTGTTACCTGGTTTGGGCTTCAGGTTAGTTTCCAGATTAGAGATCAGCAGGTATGAAATCACCACCTACTCAGATCATCAGAAAATACATCAGTACAGGCGTTAAATACCTCTAATAGACCACAGAGCATACACTAAGAAGTGTGCACAGATCCTGAGGCAGAAACTTGATATATAAGGTTGATAACCATCATCAGAGTGGGTTTTTATCTTTGGCTTTTTTCAGCTGATTAATTATTACACAAAAATTATTTTTGAATTCACCGCCTTGGCTTTTAGAGGATTTTGCCCATTGTTATAAATACCTCCAAATATACTTGGTCCGTCCTTTCAGGTAACAAACAAAGGTTAACCTGAAACCTCGTTTGGCACTGATATTATATTTTTACAGAGTTGAAGATGATGCAGTGAAACCTGCTTTCTTAGCATGTTGTCACGCCTCCGACTCTGAACAAATATCAAGATGGATCACACTGGATTAACCAGTTGTGAAGCTTTGTCATGTTTGTTTCCAAGTGCACTTTTTTT